TGAAGACAAAGTTTTTTATTTTAAAACTCTGCAGCCAGATGGACTCACCGTTTTAACTTCGGTGTAGTTGTCCAGGCCGTACTCTCCCAGCTCACGCCCGTTTCCTGAAGCCTTGTAGCCCCCGAACGGAGCCTGGGCACCAAACACATCATAGCAGTTGATCCTGCAGGCAGAGCAGAAGGGCGAATGCTGTGGGATTAACAAATTAGGGTAACCTGGCCAATGACCATGTGGGATCAATTACCGTATGTTGTAAAACCTGCACTGATTTCTAACCATCTGCATGCAAGATCTGACTGCATTAGCCCTAGTTATTTTTAGATATGCACTGAACTGCTATAAATCCGATGGGCTTGTAAGTCTATGCACTAGCAAGAAGCTTGTATGGATGTGCTGATGTTACGGTTTGATGATCTTCCATGTCTCAGTTATATGGAGGAGGTTTTGCGCAAATTAGAGGCAGCAGGGAGCTGTGCTCAGGACCCTAGAGGACACACTACCAGCGAGTGTGGCCTGTTCGAGTCTGCCCTCAGGTTCGTGGTGGTGTTTCTTTGATCTGATGGCTCTAGCTGTATGGTTACCAGGCAGCGAGGGGTTAACCAGCACAGGACCCACCCGAGTAAGGGAGAGTGAGACACTTTCAGTCTGCTCAGCAACACAGAGACTGGGATAAGTGCCAGCTATGGTGATCCAGCTAGCTCACAAAGGACTTTAACCTTTTCTGCAAACATTTTGCAATGGTGTGTGCTTCCTGGAGAGTATCCTCGTTGGAGGGTTTGTTAACCAGAAGGCAGGAAGAATCCAAATAAAATACGGAGGGGTGAGACGTGCTCTGCCTGACCCCAGAGGCAACACCAGGGGCTTCTCTCACGGTAAGACGCTCCCGGCAGGGCTACCCTGTGAAAAATTCGAAGAGCCCTGCGGTTTCAAATCGGGGATTTGCCTTCCCTTGACACAGCGAGCGGCCATGGGAAAGCCTCAGTGAATGAGGAGATCAGTTTTATATGTGCTTTCAACCAGTGGCCCTGTAGACGGCTCTCACCCACACCTTTCCACCCGACGCAGAGCAGGCCAGGACCAGAGTCGCCCCCAGACAGAAAGCTGCCAATGCCCAGAAAAAGCTGGAGTCATTCTGTAAGGCATGCCAAAGGCTCTGGCAGGAAAATGGGCTCGGAAGGCTGGACCCTGCTCACCCCTCTAGGTTACAGCAATTGGCAAACAGCCAAACAGCTAGCGCATTCTGGCTGTGAGATTTCTGGAGTGACACTTTTCAATTTTTTTATTTCGGTGCTTTCTGAATGTTGAAAATCGATCACTCACACATTAAACATCTTGAGCCCTGAAGACAGTCTTTACATTAAAGGTTGTGTTCCCAACTGCTCATCCAGAGTAAAAAACGAGAAGACAGTGTGGCACTCCCAAAGCCGAGCTCGAGGACTTGGCTCGAGCAACAGCTAAGATCAGGCTCCCAGAGGGGACGTCCTACCAGACGGTGCCGGCTCTCAGGGCTCCAGAAACGTAGTGAGCTTTGTCGATGTCTTTCGTGAAGACTGCCGCTGCCAGCCCATATTTGGTGTTGTTGGCTCGTTCGATGACTTCCTCCAGAGTTTTAAATTTCAGAATCTGCATCACCGGACCGAAGATCTGCCAAGAGCGAGAAGAAAGCTTCAGTCAGACCTTCAGAAGCAGCTACACCGAAAGAGGCAAGCCGGAGGAGCTGTTGAAGGAACTACACAGGATATAAAGGGATTACTGAAATCTGTACCTTTTGCAGTACAGTATTTAAATTTGCATTTCAGCTCAAAATATTAATATGAGGCAAAAGAGTATGAAAACATAAAAGAGCTGTGAATATACTGGCCAGTTCCAGCTTTCGCAGTCTGCCTGTTGATATCCAAGACGAAGCCTAGAGAGTTATTTAGGATGGAAAAGCAAGTGGTTGTAAAGATGAGAAGAAAATCCAATCGCAGAGAGACTGGGCGTCGCAAAATCGACAGTTTGGAATGTCTCAAAAAAGCATGAAACTACTGGAGGAGTCAGAAAAAGGCAAAGGCCAGGTCATCCGAGGAATACAACAGTAACTGGTGACAGAAGCAAATGAAATCGTAGCTAACAAGACTGCAGGCAATCTCCAGAGCGCAGGGGTGTGCAGAAGACTTTGAAAAGAGAACTGCGAAGGCGGCACTGCAAGATGCACAGTGACCTCGCTTCAGCACTAAAAACAGAAAGGCCACATCAGAATTTACAAATGAGCCACGATAGTTATGGAACAAAGTTTTATAGACAAACAAGATAAAAATGAACCTTATTCAAAGTGACAGTGTGGAGAATGAGAGGAACTGCAAACGATCCTTTGCACTAGTTTTACCTTGTACCTGGTGAGGAATTTTACATTTCACCATTCTGTTAAAACTGGAGCTTTAAGGCTGCTTTATAGCATTTTGTAAAATGGTGAATTGCCAAGTAACTTTTTTTTATTATTTACCCACTCGATCTGGAATCGCCAATTGTGTTTCACAACCCCTGCACCAGGCAGGAGAGAACACGGCTCCCTGACGTGTTCCTGACGTGTTCTTCGAGCGAGTTCCACAGGGGGAGAGCGGAGAATATTTTCTCACCAACCACCTGAAGCGTTCAGCGAGTGACAGGAGCGAACACGGTCAGCGTCTGGGTTCACCTCCAGGGAAAGGGCCTCCAACCTGCCCTCCCAGCAACTTGTACCATTTCGAACTGCAGCAGCTAAGCCCTACTTTTGCTGCTGCTGTTCTTTTTCCCTTTTCCATGCAATGCGCCACATCGAAAGGACCAAAAACAACCAACTCTCAATTGCAAAAAGGACCTGTTGATCATAGAACGGCACTGCTAGTACACTCCAAAAATAATTCAGCTGACTCAATGATCCCAGTTCAGCTGAAATAACAGTTTGCAGTGCTGCTTCGAAGGTTAAAAAAAGGCAACAAAAGAGGAACATTTACAGTGTGCAGATGTTTGAGCAGAAAGCTGCATCAACATGCTTAAGTACAGGTAAAGGTTCATGCTGAAAGGTAAAGAAACACAGTGTTTCGGCTGTGGAGCCTTCTTCAGGTGAGCCACCTGCGCAATGACAGTACGATAAAGGCTGTACGAGAGGCAACACTAGCTCACACGCGCACGATGGAGCCTCCCAGAGCAGCTCCAGGGATCCCTACCTCCTCCTGGGCAATGGTCATGCCGTCCTGCACCTCCCCAAACACAGTGGGCTGGATGAAGTACCCTCGGTCCGCTGCCACGCCACCGCCACACATGAGCTTGGCGCCGTCGCGCTTCCCCGAGCTGATGTAGCCCAGGATCTTCTGGAACTGCTCCTCGTCCACCTGGCAGCAGAGCAGGGCGCACGCTCAGCAGGGCCGCCAGGACCCAGCCTGCAGCCGGGCCCTTGCAGGAGCCTCAGAAAACTTACAATTAACAAGGCCCAAAACTTACAATTCATTACACTACAAAAGCATTTCAGAGCTGTGTCAGAACAAATGACAAATTCCTGCTTGGAAGTTTCCTCTAATGGGTTGAAGATCTTTTTAATAGTTTGGATCCTTCTGAACCTGAGTGATCTGTTCAACAGTGGTTTTCTACATTATCACTTTTACTGTTTTTAATTTGTGTGTCTGTACCTGCGGGCCCCGCTCCAGAGGCTGGTGCCCCGACCGGTCTGTACCTGCGGGCCCTGCTCGGTCTGCAAGCTGAATGGGTCCCCCACCACCCGCCTCCTGGCCCTCTCCACGCTGCGCTCCAGGAACTCCTGGTAGATGTCCTCCTGCACGAAGGTGCGCGAGCCCGCACAGCAGCACTGGCCCTGGTTGAAGAACAGGGCGAAGTGGGCCTGCTCCACCGCCTCCTCCACTGCGGAAGACACACACCGCCGTCAGCCTCCCCGAACCGGCAGAGACACATCAAGACACGCAGCTCCACAGAGCTGCACCAACAGGGCTCTCATCAGCCTGTGGCGACGAATGCCTCTGACCTACAGCAGAACAGCACGGGGCAGCGTCTATTCAAACGGGCAGGTGGGATAAAACTGATGGGCGGCACAGGGGCGTGGTGGTGAGCACTGCTGTCCCACAGGGCTGGGGTCCCAGGGGGTACTGTCCATGTGGGGTTTGAATGTTCTCCCCACATTCGAGTGGGTTTCCTCCAGTGTCTTCCCACAGTCCCAGGACATGCTGGGAGGTTAAGTGCCCCTGGTGTGAGTGGGAGCCATGTGGAGGACCGGAAGCCCACAACAGGGGCACAGCTACTAGGCAGGTCCCTGAGTGCACACACACACACCTCGCACACACAAACCTGAAAGTGAAAATAATGCTTTGTTACAAGCTATTTATAATAGCCAGTGTTGCAAGGCAGCAGTGCTAACCACGGACGGTGCTATCCTGCAGCCCCCTGAACGAGGAAACAAAATCCATCACAGCGTTTCAACCACGGGCTGGTCTAGAGAGGCACTCACACCCTGGTATCCGAACCGAATCCGTTCCTGTGAAATCTGTTCGGAAGGCAGGAGATCGCAAATCGCAAATAAAAATGCCATTATTTCTTATGGGGAAAAATCCCCAGCATTCCGAACCGAAGACAAGTTCACTCAAAAACCACCTTGAATATATAATACCCTACAGACCATTACAGCAAGCTTAGTGAACAACGCAGTTCTACTCAAATAAGCCAACTACAGCCGTAAAATAATCAATTATATCATCTTTACATTCTTCATTCTTTCGTAATAGATTGCTATCCGAGTGATCGGCTAGAAGGATGGGCGTCCTGTTGTCGATTATTATGCTAAAGAAGCCTTTTCTTTTCCTTAGGGCCCATAATGAACAAAATACACTTTCGCTGTGATCATAAACGAAGCACAGCTGCCTCACGGCGTCCTCCACCACGATGTCTGGCGCCCGTGCAGAAACGAACAGCTGTCCAACTATACGCCCCCAGGTCTCTAGGGTGCAGGGCCCAGCGCAGCCCGGAGGGGGGTGGAGAGCGCTCACTGTTGGCGTCCGACAGGATGATGTTGGGGCTCTTTCCTCCCAGCTCCAGCGTCACCTTCTTCAGGTTGCTGCGCCCGGCGGCCTGCTGGATCAGATGGCCCACCTGCAGGCCAGAGGACAGAGGACAGTCACTGCAGGCCTGCTCACACAGACGGGGACCATGCATCACCCGAATCTGCAAGAGCAGGCTGGCCCAGCGCGGTGCCTAACGCATTCCCATTACTTTAGAAGTACAGATTGCACATAAATTATAATGCCAAGACTCACAGACTAATAATGTGATTAGAGACCCAAGAGGGAAAGATGGTGTGTGACTGACCCCTACAAAGTGGCACAAGGCATGACCTAAAATTCCTGCAGTAGCATGCCGGCCATCAACTGGAAACGAGATTAAAGTATAGAGGCAGGAAAAGGACAAGAAGGCCATGCGAAGTACATTTTCTAACTTGCATGTACAGTTTGCTCAATTTCAGCACTCAGAGGTTTGTTTTACAGATATTTAACAGAAATCCAGCAGTCCACTGTCAATGGCCTCACCTCAGTGGAGCCCGTGAAGGCCACCTTGTCGATGTCCATGTGGGTGGAGATGGCGGCGCCCGCGGTGGGGCCGTAGCCTGGCACGATGTTGACCACGCCCGGAGGGAACCCCACCTGGGGGAGAACACACCCGCAGGTCACTCGTGGTCAGCAGCCTGACGCCGGCTTTCGCCGACCTCTGCTGTCAATCTCCAGGACACATAAAAGGATAGTGAGGCTGTACGTGTGTCCGGCCTGTTCCCCTGACCGAAGGGTGGACACTGCACTGTGAAGAAACGTGTTCTGTACACAATCAACTAGGAGCAAAAGGAATATGGACAGAGACAGCACTTCTGTCCAGCACAGGTTGTACAGTCCCTCAGACATCATAGACACAGACAGAGGTCACACTGTCTTGATGGAACAAACTGCAGATTTGTCTGTCTCTGGAAAGCTGTCTGAACTGGAAAGGATCTGACTGCGAAAGCCTGACAGGTCAATCTGGCAAAAGGCTATGTGGGAAAAAAAATGCCACATTTATTCCTAAGATTGATGAAAGACTGCTGGGGTACGCTGTTTGAGCGAGGGAGTGCTTTCACATGGGAGTCAGAGCCAGAGATGGAATGTGCCTTTATCTTATCACATGGGAGGTCTGGCTTTTAAAATTGGCTGTTCTTACAGTAAATATATTTCAGTTTTTTTTTAGTCTGAACTTGGAACAGGCATCTGTAATCCAAAGTCTTGATAAGACCAAATTCTCTATGACAAATTCTTTCTTATAGTAACAAGTTCTATGAAGGAACATCAGCTCCGCTGGTGAGAATTCACCGTTCCTGCCCGGAGTCCTTCTCAGCCACCCTTTCATTCTGCAACCACTATATCCAATTCATGGTCAAGGGAAAGCACAGCCTACGCCAGCAAGCAATGTTTGTCAGGCGGGGTACATTCTGGACGAGCCACCACTCCATCACAGGGCAGGCAGACACACAGACACACACAGACACACACAGACACACACAGACACACACAGACACACACAGACACACACAGACACACACCTGGGCCAACTTTCCCAGAAGCCAATTAACCCACCGGCATGTCTCTGGACTGTGGGAGGAAACTGGAGCACCCAGAGGAAACCCTCATGACCACAGGGAGAACATGCAGACTCCACACAGACAGCACCCCAGGCCTGGGATTGAACCCGGGGCCCCAGAGCTGACCCCTGCCACCCCAGTCACTCTCATACAGACAATAATCCAGGAGCCGCTGTGTGTGCAGCGAAGGGCTCACCTCTTTGATGAGGCTGGCCACATACAGCGCAGTGAGAGGAGTCTGCTCGGCCACCTTCATCACCACAGTGTTGCCCGTGGCCAGGGCCGGGCCCAGCTTCCACGCCTGCATCAGCAGCGGGAAATTCCACTGGCAAAGACAAAAGCGGGATCTGTGAAGAGCCGGACACGACGGGGGGGCAGTGAATCCCGAGCCGCTGGATCGCCGGGGGCTCCGATCACAAACAACGATCGCGTCCACTGCGAAATATCACAAAACAAAAGGCTAAAACAGATATGACTGGAGCGTCCAGCACTCCTCGGGTACACACTCGCTGGAGGCACTGTCCAGTGTCACTAGTACTGGACTGCGGAGTGGGGGCTCTGTGGCTGGAAGGTTGCCGGTTCGTATCCCGCGGCCGGCAGAGGAATCCTACTCCATTGGGCCCCTGAGCAAGGCCCTTCACCCCAGCTGCTCCAGGGGCGCCGTATAAAAGGCTGACCCTGCGCTTTGACCCCCAGCTTCTCTCCCCGTCTGTGTGTCTCATGGAGAGCAAGCTGGGGTCTGCGAAAAGACAAATTCCTAATGCAAGAAATTGTATATGGCCAATAAAGTGATCTGATCTTATCTTAGATATTCCTGCTAAGTGTGAATGCGCCTTGTCTGCCCATCATGCACAGACTCGTACTGACAACTCGGGGCCTCTGGGAGACACACAGTACACCCTGCTGCCCACTCTGAGGCCTGGCCTGGATCAGCCAGCTCCACCAGTAGGTAGAGCTCTCAAGCCTTCATAGCAACAGACAAGAATTGTATAGTCTTAGAGCAACACCGGGATTCCTTCTTCCAAATGCCATGAAAACACCAAGATCAGACGTGTAAAGAAAACAATTTGCACAGGCAGAGACCGTTTCATCTGAGCCATGTACATCACGCACGACTCGTTCAGAGGTGCATCGATAACGTCTCCCGTCGGCGTCGTCGTAGGGGGGCTCTAATCACTTTTGAAATTTGCCTGCAAAAATGTCCAGGACGTCGCTGCTCAGCCCCCAGCCTGCAGATAATGAAGGCCAGAGCGGCCCGAGACCGGCGGGCCCAGGCCCGGGCCTCACGCTGACCGCGGCTCCTACTCACGGGAATGATCTGACCGCACACCCCGATGGGCTCGTGGCGCGTGTAGGAGAAATAGTCGCCATCGACAGGAATGGTCTTCCCTTCCCACTTGTCGGCCCAGCCAGCGTAGTACCTGCATCAGAGACGCTCGAGTTCAGGGGCGTGAAACAGAACCACATGTCAGCCCCACACAAAGACCGGCTCAGGGCCTCAGCCTGAAACTTAAAGACCCTCAAACTCAGGTTTCCACACCTGTGTGAGACGTTAAGGGAAACATCTACTTATGTTGTCTAATACAACCGGTCTGCGATCGTCAGGAGTGAAATCCCGGAAGACTGTGAATTGATGGTTTTACCACGGGTTTGTCCAGTGGTCTCCCTTTTCCAGTTTGCACCATCGTGTGACAAATACCCCTGAAACTGCATGGGCTACGTATTATTGAATAGACTGCATAAGGGATTACGTTGCAAAATAAAATGATTCCGCTTCAGCTAATTTTCAGCAGTTTTCTAAATAATTCACATCTCAGGCTACATCACTGCAGCTGTTTCAGATTCCAGAATTACTGAGCCATTTTAAAATTGTGTACTCAGAATTTAAAATTCTTGATCCAGGCTTGTGATCTTCAACCTGCCGCTGTTGCTTGGAAACATAAAAAAGTCCCTCATATGAAAAAGTCATACTGTAGAGTATATTTCCACACTTCACTGCTTGTAAATGCTTCGTTAAAGTGTTTATAACTATAAAAACTATAGACTTTTGTGCACAGCACATGAAGAACACTAAATGTATGCAGCAGTAATATTTTCCCGATTTACAAATCCTGGTTGCTGGGACACTTCTGAACTGGAAGGGGAACAGTGCCTTGCGTGACTAAGCAGCTCTGGGGTTTGTTTACTTCGTCTTAAATTACCCTGAACATGTGCCAAAGGTCTTCCAAGCTGGAAGTCTTTTACAAAAGGAGGGTGGAAAACAACGGCACCAGCGATCCAGAGCGTACCTTTCCTTGAGCCTGCTGCTTGCTGGGATAAGCTCCGGCTGCCCCATGACCCAGAATCGGATGCTTAGAAGATGAATGGATGAACAGCAGGGCTCTACCCACAGCTCTGTTTACAAAGGAGTGCTGTCTATTCTTGATGTAAGCACACTACCTCTTAGATTTTCATCACGCCCCTGACTGATGCCTGTAAAACCTCTTTCTCTCACCCAAGGAAATAAAACTTTTCCCTGCCTAAACACCACTAACCTCAGACAGAATGACCTTTCCCCCCTTTATGAACTGTATTCAGTACTGTACTGTGCTTGGAATGCGCAGTTAATCTCTATATAAAGACAAAGAAGATAAATTTTATATTTCTTAGACCAATATCAATACAACATTGACTTTTTTCATTTCAAAAAGAACAAAAAACCTCTTGCATTATATAGCACTTACAGAGGTCAATATTTCTGAAATTAGCACTGTTGTTCACTCTGATCACCTGCATGCTACACAAGGTTTAAGCTTTCATCTTGGGAATCGCAGTCCAAAAAGTACAGCAGACCCATTTTCAAGAACCTTGAAATAACATTCTAAGCATTTACAGGTACTTCATCTGACACAAGCACCGAGTCTGACATGTTGGTAGTATTTCCGACGCAAAACTGCGTCAGTCCTTCAACCGTCCACGAACTTCAACATCCGAAACATCTAACTGAAATCACTGGGGATTCTGACAATTATTTAATACGATTTAAACCGTTTGGCAAAAATATGCATTCCGTGGGCAACTGTAAAAGATTCATAAATAGAACTATGCGCCTGGGCAACAGAGATCTAGCTAAATAATCTTTATTACAGTCCATATGGTCATGTACACCAATCAGCGATCGGTTGCTGATGCTTGTTTTCTTCAATGGGGATTTTTCCTCCTTCTCCTGCTCATATCTATGTACAGGAGAAGTCTTGAATGCAATGCTTTGTGCTGAGTGCAGTTTCCTTTGTTTATTCTTCTTGTGAGGTGGAAGCTTTAGACAAGGAAGCCTTCAGTTTCTCCTGCAGCGCATCTCTGGCACGGTATCTCCCGAGTCACACTGGCTGTGCCTGTAGCTCTGTGACCATGTGCAAGCCATCATGCCGTCTGGTTCCTTCAGGAGGAGCCCGTTCAGAAATGGTATTTCAAGGCTGTCTTTTTCAGCTGCGAGAGTGCCCGAGCGAAGCCAATATTTACCTCAAGCATTTCACCACCATGGGGACGTCCACACTGTAGGCCACAGCGTAAGGCTTGCCATTGTCCAGGGTCTCCAGGGCCTGGAGGCAGAATAGCCTTTGTTATGCTCATTTCTATCAGTGGGCAAAACCTACCGCAGCTGCTCATCCAAAAAAACAATCATGCTTGGTACGACGTAAGAAATATTACAAAGAATGGAGGCTACTTGAATCGTGTTGTACACCTGACATGCTCATTGATCTCGTTCAAGCCTCAAGAACTTCATCCGAGTTAAAATCAATTCAGGCAACTTGAGAAAAGGGAACTTAAACTCAGAACTATGACATTCCTCCTGAAATGGAGCTGATCTGCCCGGAAGAGCTCGAAGCTGTTCTCCAGGACACAGATATACTATTGGGCACTGTCCTGATTGACAGGCCTCACATTATAACTGACAGTGGGCCTTAAGCCAAGAATGCCCCTGGACTTGAATTACCGGCTGAATGAAAGAACTTCCTGGTCACAATTGACTGAGAGCCCTGCCAGTCTCTGCCATGTGTTAAGGGACGCTGGAGGGAGCCACACACTGTATGAGCTTGAAAGTTAAGGCATTACAGGACCATAACCGTGCTGCAATTAGAATCACAAATTGCTTTTGTAGTCTTTGCCTTTAAATGAAAAAAGATCAGTAAAATATGAAAAGGGCAGACTGCAGAACTAGTCTCCCATCGATTATTCTGGACGAATACCGTATAGAAAAATACAGGGGGGAGCATGGTGGTGTGGCTGGTTAGCGTGGCTGCGTTGGAGCTAGGCGCCAGAGAGCCTTCCGTGAGAAATCTGCACGGCCTTCCCATATTTGCACGGGATTCATTCAGGTGTTCTGATTCCTCCTACCTCTCAAAGACATGCTGGCTAGAACTGATGGTAAGCTACTGTGGCGGTTAAACAAGAAAAGAGACTTCCTTTACTTTTCTTTCTTCTAGAAGGCAAGTCCTTGGAGAGCAGCACGACACAGGAACTTACAGCTAGGTAGGCGGCGTGTTTCTCGATCTGATCGGCCAATCGGTTCAAGAGGAGCCCCCGATCAGAGGCGTCCAGCCGTCGCCAGGGCGACCCGAGCCTGAAAGCCTCCCTGGCAGCCTTCACAGCCTTGTCGACGTCCGCCTGAGGAGGAGGGAGTTTCAGAAAAGGGCGACAAACACACCGGCCTTTTCCTGCTGCTGAGAAGGGGTTTGCCAGAACATCAGCAATACAAGCACATACAAAGCACTACCCTGCTTCTAAGATGCCCATCCACCACTGCCCCTTCCACGATTAGCCAACAAAACGAAATGCAGTTCCTTCACGCCAAGCTCTTAAAAACTAGGGGCGGCCATACCTGTTGCTACAGATCCAGAATCCAGCAGGTCTTAAGAGTCACCCTTTACTTACCCCCTTGGAGACGAGCAGAGAATTTTGAAATTATTTAAATCATCACTTCCTAAACGCCTGGAACAAATCCCATTTGACGCTCAAGTAAGTGATTTGTTCAATAAAGAAGTTCCACAAATCTAAAATACAAATATCAGAATACTAGATCAGCCTTTCCTGTCTGAAATTGGTTAATTTACTGAATTGATCACAATGCACAGGTTCCCCGTCTTTCTAACATAATGATTTCAGGGTGACGTAGGAGAGCTGCTAGATTCTGGCTCTCCTGGAGCAAGGACTGACCAACCCTGCCATACAACTGCCCACACTGGTTCTCAAAATCTTTACCTTGTCTCCCTCCGCAACCTGGCAGATGACTTCCCCCGTGGCGGGGTTTATAGACGGAAAGGTCTTCCTGCTGACCGCATCATGCCACTCGTTGTTGATGAAGATCTACAGGGCAGACCGAAGATCAGAAAGAAATGGCACCAGAAAAGCAGCTGCAGGGCAACACCCACATCCAAGGCCATCTTCCCACCCCCCCCCCGGACTTGGAATTGACAATTATTTCCTTTCACACCTCCCCCTCCCTGTATGGGATCTTCCATTTATTAAACCAACAGGCTTCTACCACTCCAACAGCACAACAGGGATGAGGACTATTCCCGCCTTCCTCCAAACCCTGTGACGGGATCTGCCATCTGCAGTTTCTTCACAGTGTGAATCTCACCACACTGTCCACAGCAGAGCCCTACACATGACACAGTATACTGACTGACAAAGACTAAGGGATCCTCACTCTGCGGAAAGACAACTCAACAGGTCTTGAACCTCAGATCTATTTTCAGGTCTGACCAGTTCCTGAAAGGACTGGCAGAGAATAACAGATCTTTCTATGTATATCAAGAAAATCTGTCTCTCAATGACCATTAAGAGATGGAACACTATTGGAAAAAAAAATCAGCATTCAGTCTTTCATCTTAATCTGAAATAAAACCTTGGACTCTCCCATCCTGAATTTCTCTTGTAAAAGCTTTCTACACAGAAACACTACAGTATTCAGATTTCAGAAATTATCAAATGCAAAGGAACAACTAAACGTTTTTGTCATGCTGAAAAGAGAAGAAAAACACATTTCGGCTGTGGAGCCTTCTTCAGCTGTGAAGGCTCAAAAAAGATCTCAGCCAAAACGTTGCATTTCTTTTGAACAATAGGTTTTAACAACACTAAATTATCAATAACAAACAATACTAAAAGCAATGAATATGCTTATCTTTGAGTGTAAAAATAAATAAGAATATTTTGAGACTCATCTCAAAGGCTCATCTGTGTTTACTGTGGTTTGCTCCTGTTGAGCTGTGCAGGATGCATTTAGTAATTTAATAGTGTAGTGTGAATCTATAAGCAGTTCCCAAACATATTTTTTAATGTACGGTCTTAGAACCATTTCATTTATGGACAAAGCTTGGACTAATATTTAAATTCCTTATCTCAGATTTAAATGTAATCAAAGGTGTGTGCAAAACAGCAGTGCTGCTGATAATCTAAAGTAACATTAGATTAACATTAACAGCAGATTTCCCTGGGTAGAAGTTAGGACAGCTACTTTGCACTTATGAGTACTGTCAATAGATGAATCTTTTATACTTTTGCTCTAGTATTTTACCAACATGAAACTTATAAACTTGCTTACTTTTTTTAATTGCACAATTTTAAAAGTACTGGAACTCGAGCAAGATCTAAATACTCTTCACCCCTGGGGAGAGCCTTATTCACTCTGTCCTTCACTACCCGTTTGCCTCCAACTCTCTGAGCTACACACGCCCCTCCCTGCCTGCTCCAGGCCTCTCGGTAGTATCAGATTGGACCTCAAACTCGAAAACACCGAGCTGCAAAAAGCAGAAGCCAGCGAGGTCGTGTCCCCAGCTCGACACGACACCCCCAAGACACAAAGCCAAGGTAAAGAAAACAAGGTTGTGCACGAACACGCTTCCTGAGCACGCAGCCCCTAACTCCCCTCTCGATTTTGCACAGGAATGCCCAAGTTCAACCCCACTGCAACAACTCTGCCCTGCGGGATAAGCCCATCAGCGCGATTAATCGCCTGTCGCGTCGCCACCCCATGACCGTAAGAAACCTTTTTTCAAAATCGTTGTCAGCTCATTAGGCAACAGGGGTCTGAAGCTGGCCGTGCAGCGACTGCTGAATAACGAGCCCCCGGCCTGCCTGTTGCGCTTGCAGCCGATGTTCGCGACGACTTGCCCGGCTGGGGTACCTTGTTGAAGTGCACATCAGGCTGGGGGTTAGGAGCGGGGATTGCCGACGCAGCAGAGTAGTTATGCGCAGGCAGCCGGATGGACCCCCGGTCACAGACCCGGAGCAGCGATCTGGAAAGCACGGAGCGCAACATGTTGCCGTTTTAAACCCCCTCACTCGTTTCAACAGCGGCTACAACCCGGGCTGTCAATCCTCGGACACAGCAAGAGCTACAGTGCAACAGGCACGGCCCCCCGTTTCGCTGGGTTTTACGCCTCCGATCCCGCCTCCTGCACCTCCCGGGACAGCTGCACCAATGGACGCCTCCTTTTGCAGTTTGCAGTTTGCATTTACGGCCCTGCGCCAGGAGGCCTTGCCCGCATGCGCCAGGACCGGAGCAGAGGGGAGAGTCGCCAGCTCTGGGCCGGCTGGGGGGTCGTGTTGCGCTTTATCTGCAAAGCGCATAACCCGCCGTGAAATAGACCGAGCCATCTCCTATTTTCTGAAGCCATGACCTAACTCTGTGCTTAAAACAGAGTTTGTAATCTCTGTACGAGGTGTATGCCTGGCGTCACCGTATTTGCAACGGATAACACCTCGGTGTAGTTTCAGCTGTAAACGGCTGTTGGGATAATAAAATCATGTATTTTCCGTGTCCTTATTTAGTCGTTTAGAAACAGTTGAAATAACGAGTTGGAATGTCAAGCTCTGTGGTTCATTTTCTGTCTTTATTTGTAAGTCAATACTGCATTTTTGGATCAAGTCGGAACTGTTGCACACCTATAAAAACAAACTACACAAACATCTTAACAAATAGCATTTTTCCCCACCCTAAAAATAATGTCAGGTTAAAAAAGCATTAAAATGTGTAAAATACTACGTTCTGTGAAATGGGATAGTGTAGCGAATAACAAATTGAAAAGGCAGCCTATACAAAACAAGTGTAAACATTTGTCACATTCATTATTTTCAAACCGCATTAGCAAAAAACAAAATATATTTTTATTATGCATAGAAACTTTTTTTTTTACAAGAATGTGGAACTAGGATCTCTAAGAATCAAACATCAATAATCTCTTTATGATGACTGATTCTTATAAATATGTGGCGTCCAACCCTGGTTCCAAAGGGGACAGTCTCAGCTTAATTGGAACAATTGTTTTCTTGGGGAGTGAATGTGCTTTTCTGATCCCTGGTTCAACAGTACAAGACTAGTGTCTGACACTCCTGTCCTCAGCCCATTACCGTCTGACTGACCAGTTTAATCCTCTCCCAGCACTTTGGGGGTCTGCTGTGTTAAAGACACCTGGAAAACCTGACAACACGCGGGACCAGGACTGGGGTCCCCTGGAAGAAGCAGTTCAGTCCTACATTAGATGGCGCCGCGGGGCTGTGGCTCTTGAGGACAGGAGGACAGGTGTGTCCTTCCAGTGCAGACAGTGAAAGACGGTGATGAAGTCAGAGACAGCAAAGGCTCCCCAGGACCCGCTGAGACTACACCATGTGCAGCTTCAAGAGAGAGAGGGAGGGAGGGCATCAGCGTTTCAGTTCCATTTTGGCCACAGTGGCCCGGTGGACTTCATCCGGTCCGTCTGCCAGGCGCAGGGCCCGTGCCCAGCTGAAGAACAGAGCCAGCGGGTAGTCGTTACTCAGGCCCGCTGCTCCAAATGCCTGCAGAGCAAAGCAGCAGACAAAACGGTTTAATTCGGGGCTCATTCACTTCCAGCAGACATCGCTGATGCATCTGGGAGACGACTGCCTCACCGCCGAGACATCCAAATTAACAAAAACCACCCTGCCGAGAGAGCACGTGCATCTCATTCTAAACCACCTGTTAATGCCTCTGGTCTTCTCAACCACCGCGAAAAAAGAAAAACAGCGACTAAGGGAAACGTCAGATCATTCATCTCATCGACGGCTTTAACACTTCACTTCCTGGAAGGCCAAGGTTGACTATAGTCTACAAAAACGCATACTAAAAGGAAAAAAAAATTGAGAAAATATTTTCTACCCAATCAAGGGCTCAATGCTAGGATTTCTGTTTAGCAAGAGCAACAAACAATGTCTATTAGCATTGCCTGTTAGCTGGAGTAATCAGCACTGAGAGGAGGAAAGGCTTATGAGTGAGTGAGTGAGTGAGTGAGTGAGTGGAACTTCCTTGGCATCGCTAGAGAGGAAGGAATGTAGGAGTGGAGGGGCGTGACGAGGAGGAGAAGAGGCAGGTCAGGGAGAGTGGAGTTAACAGACGGGCAGAAAGAACAAGCTTCTGTTGTCATTCCGTTACCTGCTAGAAAGCCAGATCCTACAGTGTTTGCAAACGCTCCCATTCTGGAATGATCGGCGTGAAGCAAAGTGATGAAAGAAGACTAGCAGAATGCTCTTCCTAATTCATACTTGATTTGGATTCAGATATAGTTTGTAAACTACTGACGTCTGCAGAGAATTAGGGACCTTTCTGCCTTTTTAGTAAATTTTGTTAATGTTTATGTCGCCTGATGCCAGCACTACGACGCTTCAACAAAGGGCGCCTGGATGTCAAAAATGAGATCCACACAAAATGAAACAGACATGGGTTTCTTTGGGATTCATTAGGCTACAGTCAACCCAGTGATGAGACTTTGGCCTCCTGTCACAGGTAGCCTTTCAGATGTTGGATGGCGATGCTGTGCTGTACCTGGATGGCCCGGTCGATCACCTTCTGAGCCATGCTGGGTACCACAGCTTTGATCATGGCAATCTCAGGAGCTGCCACCTGTACAAGGAGACAACGGTCAGGTTCATCGGGGGGGGAATCAGGCTGCTTTTTGCAAAAAAAATTTTTTAAGAATATACTAACAAATGTACAAATTTCACTGTGAAAAAGAGAAGTGCTGTACTGTTGTTTCTAATCGTAAGGAATTAGAAGCCCAAATAGAATTAGATTATTGAAAGCCTGTGCAAAAGCTAAACTTTTGGGAAGATCACACCATTTTTTACATAATATTGTGCAGGCAAACTAAAGAAACTATTTGTCTTTCAGCTACAAACATGCTACAACATTCCCAAATGACAGTGGGTGGATTAGTCAGCTGTCATTTGCTGTTGATGAAAGGAACAGTGAGACAGTAAGTGAGTTTTTAAAATGAATGATTGTTCCATTTCATGTCAACTATACTGCATGGGATGGGCAGAGCCTAAGTTCAGTACGAACATTGTTCTCAGTTAGGAAAATGACCAAAGTAATTTTCCCTGGTGTGAAACTGCCTGTCCACTTCATTTACTGCACCATGGAATGGATACATTTCCCCCCAACAAAAACAGAGGGCCCAGATTTGACAATATTCCATTACATCCTTAGCTTTATTTTATTATTAGCCTATTAGCTTGGAACTATTACTACTTGAACTATTACTAAAATCTCTTTTGCCCAAGCACAGCGGCCTGTCTCAGTGTTACTGCAGTGTTGGCCCACCTTGTTGCCCACAGTGTCCATGAGGTGTGCTGTCTTCAGCACCAGCAGCCTGGCCTGCTCTATCTCCAGGCGAGACAGGCCGATGTCAGCCAGGATGGTGCCCTGCTCCGCCAGGGGCTTGCCAAAGGCCACTCTCGTCTTCACCTACCAACAAAAACAGGAGTACCGCCCAGAACAGCAGTACACACGGATGAAATGGAAAACGTCCTGCATTTACAAGGCATTATGTTTCTTAGATGAGTAGCAGGAGAAAGTAATGTCTTATAAGTTATACCAAAGGCTAAGTCCATTAGCTGCCTGGTTAAGTGAAAAAGGTCTGAATTTTCGAACTACAGATGGGGCGAGATCTCATGGTGCAGGCCCTGCCCTGCCCTGCAGCCGGTACCTGTTGAGATGTGGTGTGTGTGTGTGGGCAGGAGGCAGGCTGTGTAGCTTAACAGTTATATCACATTCTTCACTTCACTGTCTGCCTTCCTGTTCCCTTGAAGACAGCACACTTTAACAAAACTGAACAGGTATGTAGGAGGGGCAAGTGGGAAATGTGGACTACATTCTCTCACATGTGCGCACCCCATTACGGCTTCTATGGCCACCATTAAACTCTCCATGTTTAGGTTCTCCTTCTGAAACTTCTAAGGTCTGAAATTGTGTTTTCATAGTTCCTACTGATCCACGACAGGGTCAGCTGATGAGAACTGTTGAGCAACATTGGGGACCTAATAAGAGCAGTTACAAACGAGAGGAGGCTGTTCAGCCCATCAATCACTGCTTGCAGCCATTTGTCATCAGTCACAACACTCTGTCACTGGCCCGGCCCCAGCGACGATCTCATCCAGCCGTGCTCTTGCAAATAATTCTGATGTATGAGAAAATTTGTTGACGACTAAAATGTTGCCGGTGGGCCCTCAGAATTTATCAGTGGGATGCATAATGAAACCAGGAGCACCGAAAAGCCTAGCCTGCTGCCGCTAGCGAAGACGCCCCAGCCCTTACCCTCTCCTTCATGAGCTCCAGGGCCCGCTCCGCGTGTCCCACCAGCCGCATGCAGTGATGGACCCGGCCCGGCCCCAGGCGGCCCTGCGCGATCTCGAACCCGCGGCCCGGCCCCAGCAGCAGGCTCGAGCGGGGAACGCGCACGTTCTCGAACACCAGCTCCGCGTGGCCACCTGTCAGGGCAGCACACGGCACAGACCACGATCGCCTCGTTTCCAAGACCGAGGCAAAACAAACTCCTCCTTATAAACCACCGCATTTGCTGACTTTTTATTTTACGGGTTATTTTTCACAACACTCAAAATATTTGAAAAGACTCAAAGACTGATTTTCTTTCTCCATGTAAATTTTAGCACATTTTTCAAAATAAGGATGAGGACAAAAGACACTGCCCCTTCCTTTCCTAGGACTGCACCTTGCTACAACTGCCAGTTTCACAGATTAACATCTTCAGATCGCTTTCAAACAGCCTAAACACGATAGTTTACATTTCTAAGGCTGGGGAGGCATGTTAGAACTGAGCAACTTTGCAGCACATGACCATCATGGGATCCACACTAACAGCTAAAGAGACAGATCACCCAGACAATTTCCAGTCATCTAGTCACTCTTATGACTTCACATGGTGAAGAAACATACTGGATGCTTTGAATCTCTTAAATGAAAACCAAGGATTTCGGCATTACCGAAACGCGACAGGAAACATTTTTTAATGGTAACAAAGTTTTGCACAGCTAACATACTGTACTGACATTTGGTATGTTTGTGATATACAGCAAGTAAAAGGCAGAGTTTGCCTTCCATTGATTTTTAGGAGAAACATCTGTGTGGAGCAGCACAACATGGTACTTCCTCTGAGGATTTTACTTTTCTCTTTATCTCCAGGTGCTCCAGTTTTCTCCCATCTCCCAAAGACATGCTGCCTAGGTTAATCAGTGTCTCTGGTTTAAATGAATTCTCATCATATGCTATATAAATACAGTATATATTTGAACATTGCTGTTAACACACTACCTAACCATAACTCCACTTCTAACCCCGATTAATTTTTAATAGAGCTTATCTTATTTCACAATTTTAAGTGCCTTGCAATGTGAGGCTTTGTTTTACCTTTGATCACAGGTAATAGTTCATTCCAGGTTTTGGAGTGCTACTTGTAAAACAGATACAGAGTTCTGGGGTAAGAAATGTTTGGAGAAAGATGGAGATATCAATGAATCAGGTTCCCATGTAATTAGAGACTCCATTCACCAGGGGTATTGATCTATAACATGAAAACCAGACCAGATCTGCATGCCTTTGATATGCACAGTGCATGATGATTAATGATCACCAGCCCATGTTGTTCAAACATGATCTAGGCCTCCTTGCAGCAGACATTATCTGACAGTGCTCACACTGTACATTCAGCATGGTCCTAAAGCTAAATCTGGACATTTCATCTGATCAGCAGTGACCGAGACAGACTGTAGCCAAGCATTTGCCAACAAGCACTGTGCCTGACTGGCAGGACAGGCCGTCATACACTGTGCAGTAAGGAGGCTGTCCATTCAAACTGCCATTGATCTGGAAAAAGACTCTAGATGATAAGTTAGGGAGGACTTGCGATTATGATTTTTTTTTTAAATGTGCACGATAATATCAAGCTTCCACAAATGCACCGGTGTTTATCAGTACCATACTACTCTCTGTTACAGTGCATTATATTGTGAAACACTAGAGATAAGGGAAAAAAAGATAAAAACATGATTTCTTATCAGATAACACTAACTGTTCAGAGAAATTTAAAGACATAGCATGCATTATGTAACTGACAAAAGTAAATCGTTAATAGTACAATTGATAATGGTACAACAGCTCTGTAATGTGCAAGTAAAAACGTCCCTGACTGTGACTGTAAGGAAGACTGTGTATTAAAGCAAAAGTGCTTTATGTTCATTCTCAGCAAAATATACAAAACCAACACTTCCAAATTATGACAATCTGTGGGAATCAGGACAGCTTATGCTGAAATAAGCATCATACAGTAATTTTGTTTTCAGTTGGTAAGTTGTGCTGTTATGTCATGTGGCCAAAATGTTAATTAAAGTTTTCCCATTCAAAATAAGTACCTGTCCTTTTCCCTCGAACTTCTTTAACCTTCTCGGATTACGGTGAGCCTGAGCCCAACCCAGCAGGCACAGGCCACAGGGCGGGGCTACACTCTCGATGAGACACTGTAATAGTTATGAAACAAGTACATTCCTGGCTAGACCAATATCCCACCTGGAGCATCTTCCCCTCCGTAGACCGAGAGAGGACGCACAACCCTCACTCCAGGAGTATCCATGGGAACCAAGATCATGGACTGCTGCTTGTGTTTGGGAGCACTGGGGTCGGTCTTTCCCATGAAAACACACAGCTTACAACTGGGGTTCAAGGCTCCTGTGGAATTAAGGACTGGTCAGCAAAAAGGCTCATCACGTGCCATCTGCAGATGAATGAATAACGGTTTTAGAGGAGTTAATAATCATCTCATGTTGCACAGATTTGGATTAAGTGTCATTGGATGCAAAGCTCAAATACTAACTCAGGGAGGATAGTTTATTTAATTATATTATGTCAGATGAATAAATACTCAATTTGGTATAGCTGCTGCACCATAAAGCAAAAAAAATGTATTCTAAAAGTCTTTTTTATCAATATTGACTTCCTAATTCTTCATATTAATCAAAATGGAAGTATAAGATTCAATAAAGTGTGCACATAAATTAGTTTTACCATAAAGGAACTGTTTTCAAATATGGTACTGAATCACAGCTCAATCGCCTAATAAAATATTTCTACAGAGCAACTATAACTGAGGCACTAGGATTATGGCAATATAGAAACTGGAAGCATTTCTGACCTGATGTCCACCACTTATGTCCATTTAGAATGTAGTAGTCCTCGTCCTCTATTATTGACGCTTCAATGTTCGTGGCATCTGACGAAGCAACCTGTCATTCAGAAAAGCAACAGCTCTCAAGATCAACAGCTCATCAACAAAGAATTTCAAAGTGCTTCCCTGTTGTAACCTCTTGAGGATGCAGGTGTAGTTCTATTAAATCATTTGAAGCCTAAAGCTCTCTGACATTCCCCTAGTGTACATCGTTATCCACTGCATTTATATGCTGTTTTGTTTATGCCCAATACGGGAGTTATGGATGGAATTTCAGATTATTTCAAATATTCCAATGGTAGTACATCCTGAACCATACAGCACCAGTAATGCGAGAGACAAGCAGCAATTAAGGCTTATTTCTGTTCTGTCCAGGAGCCTGTGAGGTTATTTATTAGAATGGGCATGAAAATCTGGATTAAATCAAAACACTGGGTGGGTATCTGCAAATAAGAAATGAACATGCTTTGTTTGCCAAACTTTCCTTTCCTCTCCCCCCCCCCCATCAGATTTTTTCCTGACACCTGAGGTTTATCATTTGTGACTGATTACCAGGTCAATTTTGATTTCAATTCCTATATCACTGGTGTTACATCTTAAACATCTCCTGCTCCATTACAAGCCTACTGTACGTCTAGGTGAACCTTTTACGTGTACAAGACAATCTGAGGAAAAACACTGAAGAAATAATTCACCTGCGGCTCCGTCATGGCGAAGCAGGAGCGGATGGTCCCACTCAGCAGGGGCGTGAGCCACTCCTCCTGGTGTCGCTGCGTGCCGTAGCGAATGAGCACCTCCATGTTCCCGGTGTCCGGGGCGGAGCAGTTGAACACCTGCGCACACACCGGGACAGGGTCACGCACAGGCCTCCGGCGAGGCGCTCGGCAGATCCCACCACTAACACCCCCGGGCCTACGAGCCGATATCCCAGCCGTGACATCTAAAAGACCCGATCCTGTACACACACAGCCTGCGTGTTTGTCAGGTGTACGACTGCTCCGTCAGTTCATTCCTGCATGCCGGATCTCGGCCACCGACAGCGCGCGCCCCGTTTAACCACGTTCGCCAAGCGTTGCTCAGAGGCGGCGCTCAAGCGGAGGACGGGGATGAAAGGGACGTAGAAGACGACAGCGAGATGAGGAAGGAAGGAACAGCAGCTGCGACACAGCGAAGCCGGGGGGGGGGGGGCGGCCTCACCTCCGGGGCGTACAGCGAGCGGCCCATCAGCTCGCACAGGTGGGCGTACTGGAGGTTGGTCAGGCCCGCCCCGAACTGCGCCAGGGGGTCCAGCTCCAGGGGGATGAAGAGGTTCCACAGGCCCGCCACTCGCGCCGCCTCCTGGAGACACAGCCACACGCGTCACAGCCCAGCGGCACCCGCGGGGGCCTTCAACACGGCGGCCGACTCGTGGGAAATAACGCACCGACGCCAACAACAACGAGGATTTTAATTTTGATCTAGACAGATATGATCAAATATTGTTTTTAGTTTATTTTAGTTTTGAGCAGGATGGGGCTTTCAATACCAGGGATTAAGAGTCATAGCGTAGTCAGATGTAGAGCCATGTGATCTCACAGAAGAGAAGAATATTTTCCATATTGTTTTCTCAGAAGATCAGACGGCACTATACCTGCACTATAGCAGCACCATATCCAGTGTCTAACTGCACACGCAAACACTTTTTTTTCCCCAATCCGTTATTTGACAAGCAGAAATAAAAAAGGAGTGCTGCGGAGTGAATAGAAAACAAGGAAATAAAGACTGTATAAATCATTTCTAAGTCCACGGCAAAGGTCCCGAGTTTCTGGGCCTCCCTTGTGGCTCACATTGGAAAGGCATTCTCCTGAGCAGAGGCTGAGCTCTACCACTCCAACGTCACGGGTTCGAGTTTGGGCCAGGTCGCCGGCCAACTTTAACTAGGCTTCCCTAGGCGGGGTCAGGAGACACGCGACTCGCAGGGGGAGGAGTCAGGAGACACGCGACTCGCAGGGGGAGGAGTCAGGAGACACGCGACT